TAGGCCCGAAACGTCAGCTTTCCTGCTCCTGTGATGCTGCTTGGCCTGCTGTGTTCATCAGCTCTACACCTTGTTATCTCAGATTCTCCAGCATCTGCAGTTCCTACTATCTCTCATTTTCTAGACCATTTCAACTTTTATTTTGGGAATTGCTCTCGGGTGGTAAATGCATTGTGATCTATGTGGAAGGGTAAGACTTAAAGTATATGGCATCACATGACTGAAACTATTGAAATATGAGTGTTTCATTATAGTAGAAGATTGCTGTTAATTCTAGTAAAACATGTTTTCAAAATTAATGATCAAATATAGACATATTTACATTTGATTTCTACATATTATAAATTATTAGTATTTGTTTGATTATTGGATATGCAAATTGGCCACATCTGCAAATTAAACAGGTGTTTATGTTAAATTTAGGTATTTAGTATTCTTAAAATATTTTAATTTTGATAAATTTGTATTTTCACTTTTTCTGAGTTAACATAAATGTTTATTTATAGCAATTGTGATTTTTGTGATATTCAATATTTAATGAAAGCTGAAATAAGTAAGTACAGTGCAGTAGGAAACTATTAAACTGTCAATGCAAACAGGCATTAAATTTATTACTGGACATGTGGTTTGGAAACGAATGCCAGGGTCATCAGATTTGAGGGCTGGAACTATAGCTGAGACTCCCTCTTTGTATTAGTGCCCATGATCGCTGTTAACCTATCTAGCTTATAAGGAAATGTTATGTTCTGTATAACATATATTTTTATTTATTAAAGAACTGCTTGTTATTAAACAGTTTAATTGTTTGTCAATTATCCAATTAAAATTCCACTTCAATCAAACACTTATGTACACATGTAACAAGAATGTGAAGTGCTGGATGCACTTTTGAAACTTGGCTTCTGTTTATTTCAGAAAAAAAAACAAGTTAACAAAGTGCAGTTGATTGAGAACATAACAAACCCAAGTTTTGAAAGTCACTGCGTTTCATGGCATTTTTAATGATTAATTTTGCCTAAGATAACAAAAAGTTGGTTAACATGGCTTCAGTGGTCATTGTGCCCCAGCTGGAAGCTTTCACCTGACCAAATGCTGTTGTCCTGGTCCAACACTCTGTCTGAGCCCACGGCCTCTTTTCTGTAGCCCTAGTTGCTATTTTCAAACCAAATTGACACTTGTAACCCAGTTTCTCCCAACACCAGTGTTATTTGTTAACCCAGTTGCTTTGTTCTGGGTCCTAATCACCATTACCAAACCTAGTTTCTGTTTATGTTGCCCTGTCTTTTCTTTTTAATTCTCATTTTATGTCAGTCCAAATGCGTCAAAGGTTCAACGTGCCAAATCCAAGTTTGGAACAGCCCAACTGACATGCAAATTGTATGTAGGATTTGGGGATTGTCTCTATCACTGTCCATGAGATAAAATTTACTATTGTTCCCTTCACTTTGTGGTTTAGAAAACGGCAGCAGTTCTATTCCCCAGATGTCCATTTTTAAAAAAAAATCTTAAAAGCATGAGAAACTCAAAAAAGGCTTTCAAAATAAGATACAACAGTCAATTGTCTCCTATTCTCTCTTTGTTCTTAATTCTTGCTTTTTTTCCCAATTCTTTTCTTCTCTATTTCAGCAAGACAATAGCAATCAGAGTAATTGATGATGAGGAGTATGAAAAAAACAAGAACTTCTTCATTGAGATTGGGGAGCCACGCTTGGTGGAGATGAGTGAGAAGAAAGGTGGGGTACCTGCTCAGAGCTAAGGCCTTAATGCCATGCCTGAATGTCACAGGGATGCTCGGCACTATCAGATGCCCAGGACATAATGCACACATTTAGACATGTGTAATAGGGTAAAAACATAAAAAGCCAATTTATAAATAGGAAATTGAATACAATTTGCAAATACCTTTTCGACCTTTTGATGACAGCTTCAAAAATGCATATGTAACCTTTGACATGATACACCATGTGTCCATTCAATAAAAATGGTTACTTGAAAGACTTTAAAAATCATTACAAGTTCAAAACCTTATGCATTATGGATTAAAAAAGCATATAAAAATTCAAAAAGTAAAAGCCTCCTAAATGACAGATTAGCTCATTGAGTTTTAAGCAGCACTAATAAATTTATACCCTATTACATATTGCATTATCTGAATGTGATGCAGGATCCCTCCCTTCATAACATCTCACTAACCATCACTTAGTTTACTTAAGCATGTGTGACTGTGATGGACAACTCCAATCCATTGTTTGCCTTTGTCTTATGTTCTTACAGGAAAACCATTACCATTAATATAGTTGACCGTGGGGAATATGAAAAGCAAGGCAGTTTCTTCATTGCACTTGGTGAACCTGTATGGATCAGAAGAGGAATGAAAGGTGTGAGAGTAACAAAAGACATTTTGAGAATTGTTTTCTTCTCTGTTTGTGTCCTACTCTCACACTGACTTTCACCTCTCACTTTACTATCTAAATCCTTTATCATATCAGATGTTGGGTGTATCTTTCTGTGTTTATTTTCCCATGATGAATGTTGAACTGTCTTTGTTCTGAAAGTCAGGTCTTCTATTTTTACACACAGTATAACAAGCTAGTTCTATTGAGGATATTTTCTTTCTCTGTGGTGTACAAATATATATGAAAAACAATTAAAATGATCACAAGCAAGTTTCTGAACAATCAATTCATTTTTTATTAAAAATTGTAATAAAAACATTGATCACTTTTAAATGGGATGCTTTATAGATAATGTGTTATGGTTATCCAAATCTCATTTATAGGGACTAGGCTTTAACAGTCTTTTTAGAAATTACGGAGGGTGGGCCATGGCAAAGTTATCCATCGCTTATATGTACACATTTGTTCCCTGTAATAAATTAGTAGAATGTACACACTACCCTGCATATAGTTTGAAATAGCCATTTCACATATCACCCCGGTGCTATTGTCATAAAAACATCTGTTTTCTTTTCTTTTTGTAACCCTTCCATTGTGCTAACTTTAAGTTCCTTATTTTGTCTTCTTTTTCTTTTATACATTTGTTCTCTTTACAGCATTGTTGTTGAATGAGCTGGGTAAGCTTTCTTAACTTCTTTGTTTCTGTTTGCTATGTACATTAGCCATAACACGCTAGTTAGCCATGTAATATAACATTGTAGAAATTTGTAGGAAGTTGCTTAGCTTACATTCGCAGTGTAATCTTGCTATATTTCTTATAAAGATTAGACCTATGGTACAGTTTATTACTTATAAAAATAAAGCTTTCTATGATGTCCCAATGAACAAGTCCGCTGTGTCATGAAATATTGGGACATATAGAACGAAAAGGGTCAGTTTTGAATCTTGGCTGTGCTCTGGTAGTGAGATTGTCAGTACTTCTGGATTAGCCAGTCTGAAACTGTCCAAAGAGCAACTTCTGTATGAGGCTAAGACTTGGCTAATCTGTACCTATAATGAAGTAGCGTGGCATTCAACAGACTGTCTTTATTTATTGCTGTTGTCAGAATGCCAATGGAAACCAGATCCCTCTTCCACAATGCTTCTGTGTTCACAGACCTGCCAAATATTCAGGCAAGATAGTGGAGGGCTGCAAGTCAACTGTAACTCACACCAATTAAGTGTCCACCTCTAAATAGCGGGAGCAATTCAGTGGTAAACTAAATAAATGTATTCACTTTAAATACATTTTGCTTAAATTGTACTTTTCTCTAAAAATCTCTTGAAAGGATGAGTTTAGAAAAATGATTCCAAGATTCTGACCTCGCCTGTTGATTGAATATCTAGATTAATTTCTAATCTGCTGATGCCTATTCAGCTCCTTGAGTCTAGGCTAGTTTCTTGCAGATTTTTTTTCTCTAGTGAATGCTAATCAGATGCCATATCTATGTTCATGGCAGACAGTTATACTTTTTCACCAGTTCCCTCAACCCACTGACTGTCCCTGTGGATGTTACAGTGCCTATCAGAGATCAGACTGTGACGGGGTCAGAACCTAATCTAGCTCAATGCATGAAGACCAAAAATATTACTTTTAGCTTCTGCCACACATCAGTGTCTTGCTAGACTCTATCCTACTCCTTGATCACTTACTGATACAAAATCAGACAAAGCCATAACTTCTCCCATTTGACTTGAAGCTTGGCATCCATCTTCACACCCTGTCCAGTTCCAAGGATTCCTTATTTAAACCCTTTCAATATTGCCAACCTCTTTCTTTATCTCAGACCCTTTGCTACTGAAACTCTTACCCTGATTTAGTTATCTTTAGACTCAATTTCCCTCTCTGGTCCCTCAGTGATCTTGACACGCCATATCTTTGCAATTTCCTCCAGTCTTCAGTCTGCCTCCGTTACTGTCAGTTTGCTGTAATTTCTGTAAAGCACCCTTTCTCCCAGGTACATCACCATCGCTTTGGCCACCATCGGTAGGAAAGGTTTTGCTTGCCTTGCCTTTATCCTCTGGAACCCCCTTTTGAAAGTCATCTTTCCTCTTTCTGAATTTTGAAAATCCTCCATCCACCCAATCAAGCTTTCAGTCAACCCTGTCAACCTCTTCCTGTTATTTTGTTTGGAATTCATGCCTGAATTCTTCTCCTCCTTGTTGGACCCTGCCTCCACACCCTCTACCCTTCCAAAGGCTCCAGTAAGTAATCTTAGAAGCTGACGTTGAAGGTGCTACATAATGTAATTTGTTGCTAGAAAGCTGGAAGGCTGTTCCAACATTTATTATAATTTTTTGAAAATGTACTGATTACTTTATAGATTCCTGTGCCAGTGCCATGAGTAGACTAGTGGGACAGCTTGGAGGAGCTGTTGGGCCAGCTCTTTAATTACCACTGTAATTCAATGACAGAATTACATCCATTTATAAGTGATATTATCCTGGCTGTCTTTTTCTTTCTCCATCTGGAATGGCAGGAATATTCCTCAGTGGGCACTGTTTTTCTCAGAGTTTGAAATTGTCCCTTCACCTCCCAAGGAGGGAAACATTTGCATGATGATACAATGTCAGTGGAACAATGCACATTATCAGCTAATATTCTAGACCCTTTTAGAAAATCAGTTGAGTACTTATACATATAATGGTTATCACGAGAGTGGAAAGAAATAAAATGTCATCAGAAGGCCTACCATATGTAGCTTGGTTGTACAGCTGGAGTGGTTGGAGAAAGGACTCATTGAGGATTCCATTTCTGATAGAGAAACGAAAATGGTGCTAAAATAAGGTCAGTTTATAATTGGATTTATCTCTGCCACCAAATTACAATGGAAATTAATAGCATTGCTCACGAACTAAGAAATATACATAGAATCGTCTTTTAAAACTGTGCTAGGAAAATTCAAAGAAAATTGTCTGCTGTGATATAAATATTATATTTTGAACAATAACAATATTTTTGATGTTATTACTATTAGGACCCTTCACAAAGACAGGTATGATACTGTTTATTAGACTCCTATTCCTTTAAATTCCAAATGCTAGTTTTTAAGTTAGCAGTATTTTTAAGTTGTTGAGTATACTTTTTTGTTTCCCTTTTCACTCTTTAATTTTGAAGCAAAATACTTCAGTGGTAAGACTTTCTAAAATGAATTTCCAGTGCACTGTGTAATATTAGTTACTACGTAATAACATATTAGGTAAACATTGTAGCACTTTATAACATTGCATCAGAATACTCAAGATTTTAATATCTTGAAACCTTTCACACTTTACAGTCTAACATGAAAATAATAACGACCAAACTTTTAAATTTTTATTCTATACAAATTAACCCAGAGTTTGATACTAATAAGCTGAATACATTAATTTTTTTGTTGTCAATGAGTTCTGAACAGGAAAATTATTTCATGCTGTGGATCATTCCCATGTTTTTAGGCCATGCTCTCTACAGGAAGGTTCATTTTAGGGAAAATCCGATTCCATCTACTGTGATCTTCTTTGCAGGTATAATGAGTACTTCTGTGTTGTAAGTCATTAGCTGCACTTCAGTTAACACAGAGAAGTTGCACTTTTTTGAAAAATTAAAGATGCATTTTTGACATATTCGCTCGTCTATATTTCATATCTCACCCATTACATGTAAAATTCTGCCTAAGTGGACTGAAGCACCATAATTACATGAATTTATCAATGTGAATATAAAATGATTCTTTACACTTTGTATTTGTCATCTTGTTGCGTTGATAGTTATAGTAGTTGTTACTAAAGCCACTGGAGTAATATTTTAATTAATTAAGGTTTGCATGTACTTGTCTATATTAAACATTAACCATATATAGCACCATTCCACCCACTGGAAGCCCAATAGATTGTTATTAATATTTAGAAGATTAAAGCATAGTTGAATGTCAGATTTCAAAATAAGCGCGTATGATAAATATATTTACAGTGTATAATCGTGGAGAATATGAGCAAATAATGATATTATCCCTTCAGTTCAAGCATTGTAGTTTGCTAGTTTCTGCAATCACGCTCCCCCCCCCAATCGTTTTGTGTTTATAGGTTAGATCTTTTTCAGATAACACTCTGAATTTAATAAATAATTTTAAAATAGAGTTGTTGATAAGCCTTGTAAAAGTTAATATAGAAATGATGTATCTAAGATCAATCTAGATAAATACAAGAGGTGAAACATGCTAATTGAGCTAGTCAAAGAGGATAGGAGATTTGTGTGAAGCACAAACATTAGCATAGACCATTTGGGTTGAGCGACCTGTTTCTACATTGGAAGATCTAGGTGATTATATTATTTTAACCAGTATTATTGCCCAATACCATGCAATGTTCCCTGTCATTTTTCATGTCACTGCGCAGAACGTTGAGATCTGTACAGAACAGCAGTTTCTGGAAGCAAAAGTCAATGTGTCGGCACGCCAATTGGCGTATGCGGAGGCTCCAAGCTTAGAAGGAATGTTGATACCATGGCCGCATGCCATTGCAAAATCTACTGCTTATACAAGGTTTTTTTGTTGTGTCATTTTCCTTGATTCCATTCTATCAGAGCTAATTGGTAATGTATGTAGCACTCCAATTACAAATGCAATCACTAACACAATTTGTATTCCTTCTTGATTTGGAACTCTTTAATCCTTAAACATTTTACAAACTGCACACCTACGCCCATTTGAAATATGTAAAATGTGAAATATATATCAGACTAACTAACTTCATTCATGTTAGAAATTTAATGTAATCTAACACATGCAGCAAGACCCAACCAACATTCAGGCCTGGGTTGATAATTGGCAAATACGGGAAGCTTGACACCCTCCAGGACAAAGCAAGCTGCTTTGATTAGCACCACATCCACACGCATGCACTCCCTCTACCACCGATGATCAGTATTGGCAGTTTGTGTCATCAGCAAGAAGCACTGCAGAAATTCACCAAGCCTCCTTAGAAAGCACCTTCCAAAACAACAGGCATCACCATCCAGAAGGACAGCAGATACATGGGAACACCACCACCTGCAAGTTACCCTTGAGGCCATTCACCATCCTGACTTGGAAACACATTGCCATTCATTCAGTGTAGCTGGTTTGAAATCCTGGAACTCCTTCCCTAACAGCATTATACATCCACCTACACCTGCAGTGGTTCAAGAAAGCAGCTCACCACCACCTTCTTAAGGACAGCTAGGGATGGGTAATAAATGCTGACCCAGCCAACGACTCCCATGGCCCATGAATGAAGAAGCATCAGGCAATAACCAGATCCAACAAAAGAGAATCTAACCATCTCTCTTTGACTTTCAATGACATGACCATCACTGAATCTGCCACTATCAATATTCTGGAGTCACCATTGACTATAAAGTGAAAACGACCTGCACAGGAATACTTTGGCTACAAGAACAGGCCAGGGGCTATGTGTTCTGGGATGAGTAAAGCACCAAAGTTTTATAGCAGCATTAGTAATTTTATAACCTGACTCCCAAAAGCTAGTTCACCATCTGTAAGACACAAGTCAGGAATGTGATAAATTACTCATCAATTGCTTGGATAGGTTCAATTCCAACAATGCTCAAAAAACTTGACACAATCCAGGCCAAAGCAGCCCACTTGATTGGTATCTCAGCCACCAGCTTAAATGTTCTAACTCTCCACCATCAGTAGCAACAGTGTGTACCATCTCTAAGACACATTGTATCAACTTGCCGAGGTTCCTATGACAACACCTTGCAGACAACACTGCCTGTAAATTCGCCTTCAAATCACAAAGCATCCTGACCTGAAAATATATTGCTGTTCTTTCTCTGTTATGTGATATAATCTCGGCTCTCCCTCCCACACTGGGTCCACCTACACTATGTGGACTGCAGAAATTCAATAACTCATCTCACCACCACCTTCTCAAAGCCTGGTGACGCCAGTAGATTCCAGCTTTTCCAGTAACACACTCATACAAAAACAAATAAAAGAACAAAACTTTCAAACTGTGTTTAGTGGAGATTAACAAACTACAAATCAGCCAGGATTAGGTGACAAATGACACTATTCCCATTCAAGACAACACATATTAATATATTAGTATTATTAGTATAATAGCTGTAGAGTATCGCAATCTTCGTTCCTAGGTTTGATGACATTTCATATGAGAGCACAAGGTATAAAGTGGTTTTAATGCAAGCAGTTAAAATATGGATATCTCAGATAAAGATGAGCCCCAAGTGGCTAAGCGTAATAAACAACGAAATAAACAGAACATTTTATTTTCTAAAAGCAGCCAGTTTGGACCTATTTCTCTTTGGCATTTATAAAATGTTACTTTCAGATACCCAAACTCTGGACTGACATATTACAAAATCAACAATGTCAAGAATTTAACAGGAGTCAAGCATAAACTGACCTGAATGTAGTGGAAAAATATCAGTGGGACCTGATTATATACTGAATTAAAAACACTGAAGTGTATTATTGCAAATCTACAACATATTCAATGTGACTTGATGTACAGCATTCAAATGACATTGAGTACCTGACCTTGACATTATGAAGTTAATGTCATTGTCTGAACTACTGTATTTATCACCTAGACAGCTAACATTTTTTCTATAACACTTCTAAGTACTGGATTACTGAGGCAGTTTATAAGATATTCCTGTGAAAACAGAGACTTCATCAGAGTTGATTCTAATTAAATTTATATTATAATTCTTCATGTATAATGTGCTTCTAGCTACAATTACCCGGCTATAGTTTTAATGGTCATGCCAATTTTGCGCCTATCTTTACCTTTTAACACTATCTTCAGTGGTTTTTGGGTGAATCAGTGGGAGGTTACCTAATTTGTTAGACATTGTTTTGCGGAGGGGATTCCTGTGTCCCTCGCATCCACCTGCTTCCCAATCATTTGGGGCTTGCTCATCAATTTGGGACAGCCAAATTGACCAACCCCTATCCATTGCAAGACATTAGTGTAAGCTCCCAAACCCATGGGCAAGGAGGCTGATACATTATTTGTTAAACGCAAACTTCTTTTAAGATTTCCTGGCCTTGATACCACAGTGGAGTTGAATCAGACTCAAGAGTATAGATTGCCATGAATATGTAAGTATGTAAATGAAAATAATGAGCAGAGGGAATATCTGTCCTTCTGATGCCATCAATCTTGTAATGAGGCAAATGGTAGTTCCCCTCTTTAAAAGGTCAGTCACAAAATTCTAGAATTGAAGGCCCCCCTCATTAATTTCCTGGGTTCCTATAGAAGCCTGCCTGATTCACAATGAAGTCCGCAAAATTTTTAATCGGATTCAGCTAATTATGTTCAGTTAGTGATGTTGCAAATAAAAATAAATTTTGTAACATTTTAATCAAAGTGCAAGTACAGTGCTGATATATTAACAATGGTAAGTGTGGAAAAATGTATTATTGGAAACTAATTAAAATTATTTTATTTTGTTACCGTTTGAGAAATGAGGCTGTTGAGAGTAGTCCAGCATTTCTCCTTTTATTACTCAGCTAAATAATCCTAATTTCAATTGAGTAAATGTTTCAGAAATATACAGCTGAATGTAATTACATACTTTAATTTTAAAAATTTCAGAACATTGGAAACTTATACTCATTTAATAATGATGACTTCTATCTGCTTTAGATAAACTAGTGATCTGAAAGTTGTAATATACAGCCAAGTAAATTGCATTATTTCATATAATTTCATATTTATCTTTTAAACCTGAAGAATTCAATTAGAACTCAGTCACTAAAAAAACCATGCAAGTTAATTGTAGTATGTTGAAATGTAAAGGCTCTTCTTCACGTATATAGTTGTTGCCCAGTTTCTTTAATTTATTATCCCTGCTACACTGTGAACAAGTGTCACCAGGTATTATTACCAGAATGTGAGCTGGAAAATGTAAATTTTTCTTTCCACTGTTCACCAAGTGACCCAGATGGGGATAGATAATATTCAAGAGGCGTAGAACAGGAAAGTTGGAGTTACAGAGAAATATCTTAAGACTCAGTCCTTGGCCGTGCCTTATTGGAAATCCAGCGCTCAGCCACATACCTTGTGATAATGAGTAATTGTATCAGATTGTGAGAGTTTGGAAACTCATTTCCAAAGGCGGCCTGCAGCTGACACTGAAATAAATTTGCATGGCCTTACATTGCCTGTGAATATTTCATATCAATCTGTATTTGAAACTAAACATGTCACAGAGAAATACACTTCTATTTGTGATTAAGTTTAATTTTTCGAAATAAATATTTTGACATATATATGTTCTAGGTATGCAGGGTAATTATTCATATTATACCTCATTTCATTCCATGAAGACTATGCCACAACAGAAAATAAAAGGGATGGCTAGAAAAGAACATTTCCCAGCAATATTACCAGAAGCAGAAACCACAAGCTTCCTCACATTTACAATTCAAAACATTTCCTTTCTTTTATTTTCATTTTCCTTAATGTTTTATGATAAGAAAACACATTATGAAAAATTTTACCATATCGTCTACATTCCACTTTTGGCAGTGACCATAACTCGCTTATGACTAAATTGCTGATAAGTTACTAGATCAGTCTACTTTGGCCTATAGCTTACAATTAATGTTTCTTAATATTGTATCCACTACCTTTCTAGTGATCAGGCTAATTTGTCTTGCAGATGCTATTAAATGAATGCTATTAAGAGATTGGTTTTCTGTATGTTATGCTTGGGTTTAGCATATAGAAGTAGCCAGGAGGGTGGAGAAGAGTTGCAATCATATATCAGAGCCTACCTGATTTTCCATCTGTTAACTTTAAAATGAATAGAAAAGTGACATTTTCTATTGCGGATACCTAATTTTGTTTTGTGTATTGTAAGAGGAAAATCTGCGTGATCTATATTGAGCAAATATTTGTAAAGTGTCATGTGTCACAGTAAGCTGTTATGCATCTTTGATTATTTATTTGTATGTATAAGAGAACTTAGTACCCGACAAAAATATTTTGGATGATGCAGTGTATTAGCAATCATATAAGGCTAAGAAGAAGGGAAAGTAGCTTTGAAAAAGGTATAACTTCAGAGTTACGCACTGACAGGTTCACAAAGACACAAAGAAGTACCAAAAGATCAATGACCAAAGAAGCTTTATAACCAGTGCATGTCTTAGTTTTATAAAAACATGATAAAATAAAGTTCTTTGATATGTAAGGACTTTTAGTTGACTTTATCACCTTTTTGCCATTCACAAACATCATCCATAGTGTCCCAACCTGTCCATTTCAGAACTTTTTATTCATTCTTCTCTGATCTTTTGTGCAATTTAATTCTAATCTGTCCTTTATGAAAAATGTAGTGTCTTGTGTCTTTCTTGATCTAGATCTTCCTTTTGTCCGTGTGGTTTGTTGCTAGATGTTTAATTGCGATAAATTATGGCATGACCTCCTATTTTGAAAAAATAAGTACACATTATAGCGAAAGCACTAGCAGATTATTTGTAAAATATGCTTTGAAATTCTAATTGAAAACAAAGTTCTTGTACAAATGTTGCTATGTAAAATTTATATAATTATGTATGTACCATGTGGATTGACACTAAAGTTGAGGATAGTGTGGGAAAACAGTTTCAGATATGGTAAGTGTGATAAAGTATAGGTGGCTTTACGTAGAACTTGGTAAAGTTGAAGGACACGTAACTAAACATTTAAAAGTTTTACGGGGAAGAGTTTAGTTTCATGTTGTCTCTGCAAGTTATTTGATTCTATTGATATTGAGTTATTTGATTATATTGTAGGTGATACCGAAGATAATCAGGCCATAGCAAATAAAAATGAGGAAGAACGGCGGATAGCTGACATGGGCCGTCCTGTCCTTGGAGAAAATACAAAGTTAGAAGTCATAATTGAAGAATCCTATGAATTTAAGGTATCTGACTGTGTTATATTTCTGATTCTCTGATGAAAAATATGCATCTACATCAGTCCTATTATAGATGTTTTCTAATCAGGTGTACTCAGATGATGTTACATACCTTCAGCAAGAGCAATGAAAAAGAGATTTTTTATTATGTCCTGCAACAACCTTGTGTTTTGTATCGATGGGCTCCTACATGCAATAATAATAATAATGAAATAATAACAGCTGTTTATGTACTTCCTACATGTAAAACATACTTATATTCAAAAATACAATCTTGCATGCAGATTCCTGAAAAAAATGCAATATCTCTGCTGACGTGTAAGAATCCCTTGCCCTAGACCATTCAAACTGAAGAAGAAGCATCCTCAAAGGTGCCAACCATTTCAATCAACTTTTGATAGTTGAAAGTGGAGGTTGAGCGTGAACAGAAGGGCTGTGTGAAAATCTGAGCATCCCACCCTATGCCTCACCAGTGGAAGGATGTGTGGATCCAGCGTTGGATCATTTAGTCATCACAGAATGCACAATTCCAGAATCACTAAATGATTGCTTTCTTTTTTGCATTTGTAAATGTTATGGGCTTTTAAAACAGTCTGTTCTATTTTCCTTTATGTGCATCGTTGCCAAGGCCAGTATTTGTTGCCCATCAAACTCAATCACAGAAGGACCTAGAGGCCAAGTCACTAAATATGTTTAAGAAAGAAATAGATTTCCAGAGGCTAAAGGTGTCAAAGGGGAGAGAGTGGAAATGTTGAATGATGGTGTGGGCTTGACGGACTGAATAGCTTTCTGCTTCAATTTCCTGGGTTTCTGTCCCTAATTGCCTTTGAACAGAGTGGCTTGCAAGTGACATTTCAGAGTCAACCACATCGCTATGGATCTTGAGCGTCATGTGAATCAAACCAAACAAAGAGCACTGATTTCCTTCTGTAAATGAGTTTTGCATTATGGACTTAATATTTGAATTTAACAGTTAATCTGCAGTCTTCAAGCCAGTCCCCATTCCTCATCTGTCTTACTTTAGTAATCTTTCAGCTCCTCCATCGATTCTGAACAAGTCTTCAATTCTGCCTTTTCGTGCACTTTCAAGTAATGTGCAATAAGTGTGTGAGACAGCACAGTATCACCTTCACTCAGTGAGTCGTACCCTATCCTGGATTCAAACCTCACTATACACTCGAACACACAATGACGGCTGGAAGTTCAGTATAATACTGAGGAAACCGTGTATTTGCAGAGGTATTAGCTTTCAGAGAAAATATTATTGATGGCAGTTCTGCCTGTTTGGTTAATGTGAAGGATTCCACAGCACTGTTTGTAGAAAATAAAACAAGGAATTCCCTCTGTGAGCTAGCTAACATAACTTCCTCAATCAACAATGCCATACATTCACATACTGCGGTACACCAACATGACTGACTACACTTCAAATCACATCCGTTATTGTCCTGAGAGAACAATAAGGTGCTACAGAATGCAAATTGTTTCTAATCCCAGATTTTAGGGGCTTCCCTAACCCCACACATTTCATGCACTCTTCTAGATCCCATCAAATGCTGATCTTGTCAATGACATTCACATCCTATTAAAAAATTTTGAAAAGGTCAACTCAGGCTTGCTAAGTCCAGGCCTTCATATCAACTTTGGAAAAATGACTGGTCAGAATCCAGTGAGAACCATTATTTAGCTGGTGGCTCTGATTTCACTGGGCAGGAGGAGTCACTGTGCCAGAATACTAAGGCATCCAGTGCTAAATCAAATGATCAGAACAGAGTCCGAGAGGGCGTCATTGTTGGTGGAGCGAGGTCCATTGCAAGGAAGTCTGGGTTCATGGCAGAACCTGGAGGAGAACTCTTTCATCCTTTTAACTCACAAACCTGTTTCGGAAAGGGCAAATACTAACGGTGCATTAAGGTCCACCCATTATGATAAATGCCAAAAGAGGTTGGGTAGAGTGGACAGCTCTAGATCTCAAAGGAAGTGGACCTACCATTTACCTCCCCGCATAGCCTTAGTATCAATTCCTACACATCAATATAACTTGTACTCGATTGCTCTCATGCAGTAAATTAGGCACAAGCCTCTTCTCATTAAATCACAAAGTTTCTTATAAAAGGATCTATTTTTTCAACCTAAAGGGAGGTTGGTGGCAGCAAATCAACCTGACAGTGATTACAACATAGTAAGCATCCACCACACAGCACGATGAGGATCCACTGTACAACACGGTGAGCAGCGGTGAGGATTGGAATTCAATCTTGTTGCACTATACAACAGGTTAGACAACAGTGCAACATCTGATGAACTGAGACGAAAAGTGCAGCAGCATGAGATTGAAGCTCCATGAAGCTTGAACCCTGCTCACGCTGAACAATAATAGGCATTAGATGTCAATGAACTTTGAGAGTGATCTTGAGGTGAGTTTCTGCTGGAGACTGGAGATTCCATACGTGAATTTGAAATACCTGCTGGGCAAAGGGATAACTTTAAAAAGGCAGCATCTTTACAGAGTTTGGAAGCTAAAAGTCAGCAAAGTATTTACAGCTCACAGCCAGCAAAGCAAGTAAGTATCATAGGGCACAGTTACTGTAAGCGTAAAGAAGGATGCAGAGGTAATTTTAAAAATGAGGCTGCAGCACCTGGAATGTTGGGCAGCTAGAATTATAGTGATAAAGGGGAAATTTAGTAACCTAGCCAGACAGCTTCTAATGGAAGAAGTAAGTGAGGTGATTATCGAGATAACAGTAAGAGCTGGAGACCTCATATTAAGAACGTGACATTAAGATAAATAGAGGAAGAACTTGTTAAGGCTGCAGATAGCTGGATTCACTCAGTCAAGATATTAAAGAAAATAGGAATCTTTATTCAAACTGAAACGTTATTAGCCATGCTGCACAGAGTGTAACTCATCCAGGGAAAGTTATGGGATTCAGCTCTGAAGGCACAGACAACAGGATTCCTTTGGTAA